TGCAAAGGATTTATCAATGCTTATCAATGAACTATATCAAGGATTTCACTGCTAATCAATGCACCATGTAAGTCATGTCCAAGGTTTCACTGCTAATCAATGAATCATGTCCATCCCAAGAATTTCACCATTCTAAACAATGAACTATGCACATGCCGGGGATTTTACTATGCTAATCAATGAACCATATCCATCCCAATGATTTCACTTCTAATCAATAATGATGTACACGCAAAGGACCAAAGTAATCACTTCACTTTTCAATGAACTAGTCTATGTCCATGCCAAGGACTTAAGTAATCACTTTGCTAATCAATGAACCATGCACATGCCAAAGATTTCACAGAGAATAAAAAAAAACACCACATGGTACCTATGGTTACAGAAAGTTTGAGAAGATTTTGGGCATATTCTGTAGACTCGAGTCTCACATAAAGTTACTTCGTATAACCATATTAGTCTGCAGATTGGCACCAAAATACATCAGTAGGCAGTTTTCTGTCGTATAACTTTCCTTTTACATTTATTTAAATTTTGTTCTGTTGTGTGTTCTCACGACGATTAGGCATCGTATGGGAAAGCAAATATTCATAGTTTTCTAAAAAAAAAAAAACCCGAGTAAGGACGTCCAGGTTCTAATTAAGGTTAAGGTTTGAAGAAGTAGTTTGACATTAAGAAATATTTATTCTTGATACTGATACCATTTTTGTAAAAATATTTTATTCCATTTATAGCCTTAACAGATATATATAACTGTAAACTATTACACACAGAGGGAACATATATTGGAATGCTACAATACTGTGACAATGTACAATCATACTTAGGAATGTTGGGAATTATACTCGGGAAAGTTGACTGTAGTCTTTATCATTCACGTTCATGATTTGAAAGTGAACGTTTTGCCTTCCAATTATTTGTTTTCGAGTATACCAAAATGAAGGTTATTAATAAACACATGTCGTAAGCAAGTGCGAGATCATGGTTGAATGAACCAGATAAAGACTAAGGTTGTATGAAACCAACCGGGACAGATATTATAGCATTGTTTATAACAAAGGTTCCAGGGGAACTTCTATTAGGCGGAACAAATATACGTTGACAGTATAGCCTCGATTGAATGGTTGAACTGTCACGGAATAGAAGTTCCTTCATAATATAAGTTCCAAATGGAAACAGTATTCTGGAATATTATTTCCACTGGAATAAATATTACAGTAAATGTTCCTAACGGAATAAATGGTATAGAATATTTGTTCCAACTGGAACAGATATTATGACATTGTTTATAACAAAGTTTCCAGTGGAACTTCTGTTAGGCGGAACAAATGTAATGTAATTTAATGTAGCGTTATATCGTCAACATAAACTTGAAATAAACAAAAGGAGATGGGTTTGCACGACAGAAGGTCCTCAATTTTATGGTTCATAAAGGATTTATATAATATACAAATCTTTGGGTTCATTTATTACACTGACCCTGCGTCTAATTTGAAAATGTAAACAAATCAGACATCGACTGGTCAAAATCGACAAGTAATATCCAACACGTTAAACTTTTACCTTTTTCATAATGAATGTAAATTATTTGTTCAATAACACAAAGAAAGACACAGAACAAATTACACAAGGCTTCGTGACTACTCTTCGTCCTGAATGTGCAAATGATATATATTTGTCACTGGACGTTTATCACATGACTCCCGAGAAGTTAAACGATCCCTTTTTATGTCCCACGCCGTAGCGGAGGGGGCATTAAGTCCGTCCTGTCCGTCGTGTACGTCCCCAAAATTGGTTTCCGTTCTCTAACTTTAGTTTGCCTCTACCAAATGTTACGAAACTTGTACACACTACTTATTACAACAAAACACAGATCAAGTTCGAAATTGGGTGGCGTCACTTTTACCGTTCATGAGTTATGCCCCTTTGATAAACATAAAAAATGCTGAATTTTTCGTTTCCGTTCTCTAATTTTAGTTTGCCTCAACCAAATGCTATGAAACTTATACACAATGCTTATTACCACAAAACACAGATCAAGTTTGAATTTTGGTGGCGTCACTTTTACCGTTCTAGAGTTCTGTCCCTTTACAGATGGAAAAATTGCTGAATTTTTCATTTCCGTTCTATAACTTTAGTTTGCCTCAACCAAATGTTATGAAACTTATACACAATGCTTATTAGCACAAAACACAGATCAAGTTTGAATTTTGGTGGCGTCACTTTTACCGTTCTAGAGTTATGCCCCTTTACAAATGGAAAAATTGCTGAATTTTTACTTTCCGTTCTCGAACTTCAGTTTGCCTAAACCAAATGTTTTGAAACTTATACACCATACTTATTAGCACAAAACACAGATCAAGTTTGAAATCAGTGGGTGGCGTCACTTTTACCGTTCTTGAGTTATGCCCCTTTATAAATGGAAAAATTGCTAAATCTGTCGTTTCCGTTCTCTAACTTTAGTTTGCCTCAACCAAAATGTTCTGAAACTTATGCTTATAATCACAAAACGATCTTAACTACGTGAATCCTGCAACTGTATGTTGAAGTTGACTCGTGCATATTTACAAGCGGGGGCATGTGGCCCATAGACACATTCTTCATTTGTTTTTTTTTATAGAAGATTGCATAGGTGGATTTTTCTTGAACCAAGTTGATACATAAATTAGAAACGCCCATATAACGGTTATTGCAGGAATATGAATCTCCCATTTTTTTTCAAAGAAAAGTAAACAACTTTATCATTGCAGGAATATTATTTTCCCCTCTTCTTCTGATTTCCTCTATAATTGAAGTTTTGAAAACTCAATCATTAAATGCATTTGTGTAGGTCTTTTCACATTCGAAATTTCTTCAGTAGGATGGCACCCGGCCAGTGCCTGATCAGCTATCTGTTTACAGTAAACCACGTCACGTGCACTAAACTGGGCTGATTATAAAAAGGTTTCAAATTCTAAGCAGAAAATGGTTAAAAAGATGAGAAAATGCTATTATGATATACTGATTTAACCAACAGTTAAAAGAACAAATCATGGGCAAAATCATGCGCTAAAGCATGTATAGGTTATTGAACAAATTAATACATTTATGGTAATTTTAACATTTCTGGGTTGTTTTTTAAAAGTTCGTATACTTGTTTAATGAGAAAACCAGACTTATGCACAAAATGCCACATTTGTTTTTAAAGACAGTTTTTCCAGAGAGAAAGAAAAAACTTTAAGCAATGAATTGAAGACCCGAAAAAACACAAAACACATCTTAGGATAAATATAGAGAGGTGTGGTATGATTGCCAATGAGACAACTATCCATACAAGTTAAAATGAAGATGTAAGCAATTATAGGCAATCGTACTGCCTTCAACAAGAAAAACCCATACCGTATAGTTGGCTATAAAAGGCCCCGACATGAAATAAATATAAAACAATTCAATTGAGAAAACTAAAGGCCTAATTTACAACAAAACAAATATGACAGACTTGCACCAACGACAACCACTGAATTACAGGCTCCTGACTTGATGCAGGCACAAAAAGAATGTGGTGGGGTTAATATGGTTGTGAGCACTCAACCCCCCTCCCCCTAACCTGGGACTGTTGTGTATATAACAGCACAACATAAGAACAAACTATGAAAATCAGTTGGAAAAGGCTTAACTCATCAGATCGATACAAAGCAGAAAACATCAAACAAAAACACAGACCGAACGTGGCAGGGTATCATTTATCCATGAGGGTCGTAATGGGGGTACCTTCATGACGAATAACGATAAAAATTCTTGCCAAATGACGTTAACGGTAATTTTTGGTGCATGACGATAAAATGTACACTTTCTTTTAGACGATAAAAAAATCGACTGATTTTGACGAATCCGAGTTATCCAAAAATAACGACAACGATAATTATTTGAGACCTCTGACGAATCACGATAAGGATATTTTGACGAATCACGGTAAAATTTTAACCAATTTGACGCTAACGGAAGCCGAAAATGACCGTTTGACGCCTGGCGGTAAAGAGCATTCCTACCCTCATCCATCCCTCATCCCCATAAACAACAAAAAAGACGCTAAGTACAGATCTGAGAGTACTCGCAGTTACTGACAGCTAGTGCAAAGCCAATAACAACTAAAAAAAATCATGTGGCCAAGACTAGAATATCAATCAGTACACATCCAACCTCCAATGAATTTAGTGTAAAGACGTCATTAACAATCAGACTGAGAGAGACACATGACCTTGTGCAATGCCAAAATATAGGTATCGACAGATTGTAGTACAGTGTAAGTACATATGTGTATAACAATAATTAATATTTAGTATGGTTTCAATTTACTGATAACAAAATCAATATTTATACCAACAAAAACAATATTCAAAGATTTAATTACAGTGTTGAATTGGTAACCTTTTACAATAAGTTTATTTGAAGGATTGATAAGTTTACCCGGATTGTATCTGAATTTCCGGGCTCGGTTAACAATATCCGTTAAATTTAGGATGTGCTATTCTGTCTGAATAAGGGAGCTACCATTTGATTTTCATGGGGGGGGGGGGGGGGGGGGGTGAAATTTGAAAAAAAGGCAGGACAGGAGTTTTCAGTAAAAAAAGGCAGGATGAACAACTTTGCAAAAAAAAAGGCAGGATGACAATTTATGTAAAAAAAAGTCAGGATATACAAATAAAAAAAAAAGGCAGCCCCCCCCCATAAAAATCAAATGGTAGCTCCCTAAGTTTTCTACAGGTACAACCAAACTTGCAAACCAAATCTTGACGGTGCCAAAGGAACATAACCGTCCAAAAAAGGAATATTATCAATATGGAAAGAAAAAATATTCCTTTTGTCGTAATTTTTTGTGTAGAGAATAGAGATTTTACACCTATTTTATTTTATACATTGTTATATGAGCATTCTGTTAGAAACAATCTCTAGTTGTTGGGTCGTTGCAGAGAAAATTAACGAAGTTTCCCCGGTAAATGGATATACCTGTTTCCCGTTCGGATTGTCTTTGGTGTTTACCTTTGGAATGGAAATTCAGGAAGAAGGAAAGTAATAATCTCCAAACAAATATTAAGTTAAAGTCAAAAGAATGAAGTTATACGTTGTATGTGCTGTACTTATCGTATATCTGACAGAAGCAAAGAATCCAGGACTTAAAACAAGAATTACAGATGCTGGTTTAACTTACGGTAAAGACAAAAAATATCCAGAATTTAAGATTTGAATTTATAACGTTATTTCAAAATTTTATTGAAAAAATTTTATTTTTAAAGTACATGGAGGAAAATACATGGAGGAAGATTCACATAGGGCGTAATATGCACAAATGGGAACAGTTGTGCCATAAGGCCATAAGATTGAGGATTGAGGATCAATATTTGTATCATGTCTAATGAATACACCTTATCCAGTAAGGGGAAACAACTCCTTACTATAATGCAACCGCCATGTTTATGCGGGGAAGACCGAGTTTTGTGTTTACAAAAAGGTTGATTTAGCGGATCGTATATATCAGAATGACACGTAAGTCTGCCACATAATATTTCATAACATGAACTTGCGATCTATCTATATGACAATAATAATCGCACTGTAAAAACTATTGTAACCAGACGACCAAAAAGTTGTGCTATTGAAAATTATTGAAACGAAATCGCAAGATACTTGCGATTTCAACTTTTTTTAAGAAAATGAAATAAAAAGATAAACTATTCTATTTTTTGACATATTATCCATTACAAATTGTGTATAAAGTTCTACTACTCGATGTTGAATGACAAAAATAAAATCAATCAACAAAATAACGAGTTTGCAGTTGCATGTTGACATTGTTGTTGTTCTATTGATATGCTAATCAAACACCACCTCACAAATTGTTTACTTCACAGTCATGACGAAACATAGAAATAGTTCCTACTTTAAGTGTTGGCAGAATGTAAGTGAATAACACCCTAGATTTTATTATATAATTTACATTGCTTGATATAGTCATGTATATTTTTTACAAAAATGTACCATGTTGTACTGTTGTATACTCTCAGTCATTGTTTAATTGTCAGGTCAATATTAAATCTTTGCACATGGTAAGCATTTTGCCCCTTTCATAAAGGCAACCAAAGTGATTAACTTCAGTGCGGATCCAGAACTTTTTATAAGGGGGGCCCACTGACTGATCCAAGCCCCCCACCCCCCTTGATCCGCCTGTGAACTTTTAAGTATATTTACTCATATTTTTTTTTAATCCATGATCATGACCATAAAAAAAAACCAAAAGACTGGACAGCTTTGTTTGAAATAATATACAGTTTGTATATAGATATCAGAAGATGTGGTATGTCAGTGCCAATGAGACAATATGTCTGATTATATGAAAAGTGTGTCTCATACATGTCATAGTCATTTAAGTAAAGTATAGCAAAGTAATCTTTATTTAAAGTCGGTTGCATATATAAATATTAATAACAAGGAACATGAGCTCTTAATTAGAGCTCTTTAAGGATTATGTACCCTTTTGTTGTTTCAATGCTAAACATGGAAATTTTAATGAAAATCCAGCCATTCCCTTGTACTCTAATATTTGACCATTCTATGCTTGATAGATAGAGCATTATTGCATGCAGTGCTAGCAATGATTTCCTTAGGACAAGTTTATAAATCAAAATATTGGTTAGAACAAATATAAATATGGACCAATTCAAGTACACCTTCTAGGGTGCACTTGACTTTAGTGACTCAGCACAAGGTTTTTTAGAATGTAAAGGTTATTTAGGCCTTTTTGTAAATAACAAACGCTAGCACATCATGGACAAACAAGTGAGTTATCTATGTTATAAATTTTATAACGAAAATCTCAGTATAAAGTCTGTGAATTTCTTCAAAAATCTTATATGCTTTTTGTGCCACATTATCCCTATTTTCTATTTAATGCAATGAAACAATAAATAAAGTATAGCTTTGAAAGGAGTTTCCCCTTGGTACATGTTTATGTGCAAAATGGCACATTTCTTATATTCATTATCTTTGCTGTTTTGATATAATTGCACTTTGAAAATTTCAATTTTTGTTTTCACACCTTTAAATTTTGGTTGTTGCAGATGCTGATCTGATTGCAGAGGTATGTGGAATGGAAAGAAAGAGATACATGTACATACAGAGACTGTTTGAATTTAAGGTGTAAGTACATATACATGTATGATATAATTATTAGAAATGACGTATCAGCTTATCAGTGAATGTACAAACATTTATAAGAGTTCTATATTTCAGTTAAGAAAAACAATTTTTGTCATTTGAGTATATAAGCAAGGCAAATGGACTTGTTAATGTTTGTCAATAGTACATTACTCATCTAACATACTTCTAGAAAATATAATTTTATTGGACTGTTTTCCTCTGTTGTATACACAATTGAATGAATCAGCAGTAACAATAAGACAATTTTATCTTCAGAGGTGGATTTAGAAAGGGGGCAGCGGGCCGCCAACCATTTGGTGGGAAAAATTTGGTTGATTATATAGAGAATCACTGAAACATGACTGGGTCCCCTCTTATGAAAATGTATGGATCTGCCACTGATCTTTATATAATTACATGCCAATTTTGTTTATTCTTTATTTATATTATCAAAATATCCATATGACTCTTCTCTATTTCAGGTAAAAATGAGCTACATGTACCAGAAAAGATATTGAAAATTTAAAAACTGTTTTAACAAGAGCATCATAAAATATAAAAAAAAAGAACAATACCAGGTCTGGACCTTTGTGACTGCATGCAATTAATTCTAAAATACCAGGAAACAAGATGTAGCTGCACAGCAGACATGGCAGATCTTAAAATTGCTAATAGGCATCAACTCAACATTTTCAAGCTGCATTTAAAAGGAAAAGCATTCCTTTTCATAGAATCCAAGATTTTTTTAACCAAGTCAAGTGGTTATTAGACCTGTTATCATGAAAATACTAACATATATATTAGTATTAACAGTCACATGTAATATCCCAAATATAAGAACTATTTGGTATGTGTGACTATCTTTCTTCCCATGTCATGTTACATGTATGCTCAGAATATATTAATGTCTCAAGGATATGAAATGGATAAATGATATATTGTCAACCATTTAAATAAAACAGACAGGCTCACATATAAATTAACTGTCTATGTGAAAGTTCAAGTTGACTAAAATTGTCTAGAATTAAAAAAACATATATCCAAAAGTACAGAATTGCCTTTCTCAGAAATTTTGTATGTTTAATAGAATGATACTTGTAGCTTCTATTTTCTTGGATCTGTATCAATATAAAATAGGGAGATGTGGTATGATCGCCAATGCGACAACTTTCCACCAGAGACCAAAGTAAGTGTTAGAAAATACAGGTATGTATGGCATTGTGTATCAATCTATGAAAGACACAAAGATTACAAAGTGTAAAATAATTCCGACAAGATAACCAACCATCAAGGCTTCCTCTGGTCTCCTCTTAAACCAGCCAACTCACTGAAACTAAATATAACAGCCAATTACAGTCATATTCACAATAGGTACTATTTTGGGTCAACAGAGAATTCAAAATAGCCACCAAAGGCAATGAAAATTAGAATGAGAACTCAATAGGATATTGACTTGGATTATTTTCAACTAGGTTTAATATAAATGGTCCCAGTTTTCATGAACAAATGAAATGGAATCAAATGATCCAGGAATATTCAGTCTGTCCAACACTTTTGAAAATTTGTTTTCGGTGCTTTTAATCACAATATGTTATGTTCAAGCAGAGACATACTACATGAAAACGTAGTTAGCTGGTTGTTTTGAGGGATTGAATTCTGTTCTTGGAACAAAAACATAAAAAAAGAATGACACGAAATAAAGTAAATGGGGAATCCAGTTTTTCAAACTATGTACATACAGTTTGTATTTGAGTTTTCGACTTAGTGGTTTAAGTTTTAATAGTGCTCCTTATGCCGCAGTCACACAAGGCCACGATCGCACTACGATCTCTGAAAAAAAATGCAAATTTTGACGATCGTAGTGCGATCGTGAAGATCGCAGTAAGGTTGTGGTGAGGTCTTCATGATCGTGATGAGCGTGGCCAACTTTGAACATGTTCAAAACAATCGTGGTGCGGTCGTGCCGAAATCAGGTCGTAGTAGAAGCGTAGCGAGAGCGCAGTAAGGTCGTGCTAAGATCGCTGTACCATCGTAGCGAGAGCGTATCGTAAGCGCGAATCTAGTCAGAGAGATTGCGCTACGATCTCACAGCGACGTTATTACGACCATCATGTTCTCCCCGCGACCAAACAACGCTTCTACTACGACTATACCACGTTTATACTACGCTGTTCAAAACCATAGTACCAATGGCGGATCCAGAAGGGGGTTCATTTGAATGGGGACATATATGGTTGGAACCCCCCCCTTTTTAAAATGGCTGGATCTGCCCCTGAGTACGATTCTAGCACGCTCATCAGAGTCGGATTTAGAGGGTTTTCCAGGGGGCCCGGGCCCCCTTTTGTGGGAAAAATTTTGGTTGATTATATAGGGAATCACTGAAGCATGACTGGAGCGGGCCCCCTCTTAGGCAGTCAGTGGGCCCCCCTTATGAAAATTTCTGGATCCGCCACTGCTCATGCCGTCCTCATCACGCCCGTCTTACGACCTGATTACGTTCATACTACGACCATTTCGAGTTCTAGCCATGCTCATTGTCATCGTCACATAAAATATATAAAAGCTCTCCATGTTTTGTTTGTCTGTATGTAATTTGGACCTCATGACCCTAATATTCAACAGCTCAACCATGCTTTACACATCTGTATCATTCCCCGTGGGTATCATTCCCACTTTTGTTCAATAAAATATCGTCAGTTGATCTGGATAGATCAGCAATACGTTGTGATTCAGGTTTGATTGGTTGATCCGACATCTCTACTGGATCAGGATTCGTACCAGAGGCCCCTCTGACTACATTTTCCGCCACCACCACGCCCACGAGTTCTGGTAGATATGGATCGTGATGTTGACGTTGTCACGGAATAGAAGTTCCTTCATAATATAAGTTCCAAAAAGAAAAAATATTCTGGAATACTATTTCCACAGGAATAAATATTACAGTATATGTTCCTAACAGAATAAATGGTATAGAATATTTGTTCCAACAGGAATAGATATTATGACATTGTTTATA